AGCAGCAGTAACAAATGGAGGTGTAGAATTGTTTCTTTTCTCTAACATTCTGCAGTTGATCACTCCAGGCTGGACAGACAGCTCTGCTTCACACCATCTTTCAGGTAACCAAGTTCTATTCATTTTATCGATCTACCACCACTATGGTGTTTTCCTACTTTTGATGGTCAACATGAAGTCATCACTCTGTTCTTGTCCCATCCTGTGGAAAGTGGGAAAAAGCAAGTGGAGGGCCAGCAATATCAACTTTTAAGTGTAGAAAGCAGAATTTGTACATATCATGTCTGCTTATATCATAATGGCCAAAACCTAGTCGTGGCCACACCTAATTCCAAGCGAATATGAGAAACATGAGATCTAGTGGGGCAGTCAAAACTTGGACAGGGATGAGGATTCTATTAAAGGAAGAATGAGAGTATGGATGCTGGAGCATACAAGCAGCCTTGTCATTAGTCAACCCTGCTCTGGGAGTCAAGTACTCATGAGAACCCCTTTTCCACCAAATTTAACCCAACTCAAAGTCCCACCCAAATTCTGAATCGAGCAAAATGTTCAGGATCTCTAGATGACTCTAAGGTAGGAAGAAGGAAAGACTGGATATTTGGGAGGACAGTAACTGCCTATGTTTCAAATGTAAATTTGACATCCTCCCTCTACCCTTCACACACATAAGTAGATAGATATATTTTTTCTGTTTGGCTTTGGCATAACAAGGTATAGTCACAACTTTAAGCATGCCAAACTTGGAACTCCACTGTAGTAAAATGAATCAGGAATAATGCAATTTGCGTCAGCTATACGATGACCTCATGTAGACCAAATATAATTTTACAAGAGAGTGCAAACGAGGATTAAAGACCTAAGAATGATGATAATGCTTGAAGGGAAAAAAATATTTGTTCATCTGTGTAAAATTGATTTAAGATGTAACATCAACATATATATATCTCTGGTTGGCAGTTCCTATGATAAAGGATTATAAGGGAAAACAGATTAGCCAACAGCTTCACATTTTAAAAATTATAAACTGGACTTGATACTAAATGCAGAGTTTAATAATTAAGAAGGTTTAAATCTGTGCTGATCTAAAGGAAACCTTTAACGAAATTTTATTGTACGTATGTTGGACAAAATGGAAACATTTTACTGGGTTAACCTACACAGTTTGCTTTAACCTAACTAGGTATTATCATTAGTTATATATATTTTAATCTCAAAGCATCAAATTTTTAATCTTAATTTTCTCTGAGACTAATAGGATTAAACTTTTGAATAAAAATATTAACATACTTAAGTGGCTTAAATGTCAGCTTTCCACACATAATTGAAATATTTGAATTTTGCTTTTTTTTTTATTACCCCAGCAAATGTTACACTATATAAAATGATTGGGAAAATACAAATAGATTCATTAAAAACACAAGCTGATTATTCAGATCTACTACATTCAAAAGTATGCAAAACAATTCAGTTATATTGCAAAGCTGTAATTCCTTTTCCTAACGAAACATTATTTTATAAAACTGTAGTGTTGTATTGATTGCATTTTAATACAAAATACTTTATATACACAATACAATATAAAAGTAAACTGTGGTACAGAGCCTTCCTCAAAAGGATATATTAAGGCGCTTTACAAATATACTAATATGTTGACCCAAATTACTTTTTGTTTTAGATTAAAACAAACAGGCTAAATGTTTCACTTTAAATACTAAAGGGATTTTTATTTTTGTTTATTAAAGAAAAATTTCTAAAGTACCTTAGGTAACAGCAGCAGCAATATCTAAAAAACCTCCCACTGTATTCTCTAATTTCTAACATATTAAGTCAGAATAAAACATTTCCACTCACAGTTTTGCACTTTGCAACAGCAGAAGGTAATCACTTTTTAAAAAAGTCAATCTCAAAGTGACTTCTTAGTCATACATACATTCTATAGTTTCTATTACAAATAAGGTAGAAAAGATACAGCAATAGGGCCTGCCTTAGGATGTCATTGGACAATACATAACAGTATCTACAATTACATAATTACAGAACATGTTTTATAAATACTAGTGATATGCATAAAAAAAGGTAAGTATAAGAAAGACAGTAAGTTTTTAGTGGAAAAATTATTTTAAAAAGAAAACATTTATAACTCCATTTCACTCCATTTCAATTGAAAGCATATAGACTTTTGATGATGTTCACTCCATTTCAATTGAAAGCATATAGACTTTTGATGATGTTCTTTTTGGTCAGGAAGCACCAGATTCTATACTGGAAGAACTGAATGTAATTGGGGAATAAGACAGCTAATAAGGGTAGCCAAACTTTTAAAACTGCAGATACTAAAGACTTGTACATAGCTCCAGATACACATAAAAAGCTTACGCTGTCAGAGGAAATTTCAAAATACAAAATTTTTAGTGTCTGTTACATTTGAAAAATAAGGGCAGCACAGATTATGTGTGTGTGGGGGGGGTGGGGGCGGGCAGCACCTTAGTTTTCCTACAACGTAAATGTAACAAAGTTGTTTTTGTACTATATTGCACCGTAAGTCCAGAAGTAAAACAACTGTATGGAAATTTAAGCAAATCTAACTGAGAAAGCTGAAGAGCAAGATAGCTTAAAAATTTGAATGCTGAGATAAAAATTCTTGACCTAATTTGTTTTGCATAGAATTTTTTAGGACTAATCATATGTGCCATGAAGTGAAGACTGCTATCTCATTGTACATTTTCTTAAAATTCTCTGAAGTCCTTCAGAAATATTTACCAGGTCTGTAATAAGCCAAACATATATTTCACTGCCTTCAAAAGGGTGTGTTTAAAATGTCTTACTGCTGCACCAGCGAGAGAGGCATTCATGGGAGGATACCTTATCACACGGTACAGACCTTTTCCATCACAAATTACCAGTGTTTATGCAAGATGTGCTAATTTGAGTGCTAATCGGTAAATTTAATGCAAGGTTCTTAATTTTATATGTTAGTGTTCTTACAGGACAGAGGTTCTTAATCAACAGTTTATGATAGCTTTCAACATGTCCAGAATCCCTAAAACTGCAAACATTTTATGTGTATGTGCTGGTATCCATCTTTCTGGGAAGAGAGTCCACAGCTTTCATCAGATTCTCAAAAAAACTAAAGACTCCCAAAGATCCTACTTATATTACACAGTGGGTCATGCAATGGCTTACAAGCTGAATTCTGAGAGGGCCACCACAGAAAGGTGGGAAGTTTGGGCTAATAAATAAATCTTCTTTGACATCCTTAATTCAGCTGGAACAGCTGTGACTTAATTTTACTTACACATGTGATTTCCATTAGCTTTCCTATGAAGCTAAAATACTGAAAATCACTAAAATTATGCCTCTTATCCACATATATTGTTTTGATAAAACAATTCCCAATCAGTGGAGCTTAAGAAAAAGAAAGTACAGGTTTTACTAATGTAAGAATTGAGCCCTTTCCCCTTCCTAAAAGATAAGGTAAATGTATTTTGGTATGAAACCAGAAGTCTTCCTTGAAATCTAAGCATATACAAGAGGAACAATGGAAAACATATTATTTAACCTTAAATAAGTTAGAATTTGAATTTTCTACTAAGACCACTATATAACTTTCTCTAGTTAAAATGGCCACCTTGTTAAATAATTTTTCATCAATTAATCTGTCAATAGGTAAAATATTGCCAAATAGCCAGATTTTCCTTTGCCAATAAACAGTCTGTGTATGCAGCATTGTTCTGAAAGAGGAAATATAACATTACTGATGACACAAACTCTCACTATATAGAAAAAGTACTTTCCTAGTGAGTACCCACAAACAATTTCTAATCATAGTTTCATATGAAACTGAAAACAATCTCTCTGCTAAGGATGGCAGAAATCAAGTTTTAAATTTTGAAGTAATAATATGAAAAATCTTAGCTTTTAGAATAAGAAATTTAGATTTATGGCAGTTTTGTTCTCCTTTAAAACTCGAAGCAGCATTAAAAATACCAATATAGAAAGAAAAATGGTAGTGCTTTGCTTAGTTTAATGCCAATAATTCTTGAGAAACAAATGCTAAAAGGTTAAATATTCGACAGAGAAAAAAAAAGATAAACATTTTTTTTTCCTTCTAATGAACATACTGTTTCAACCCTGTATTTCTGAGTTCCAAGACATGAATTTATACAGATTATCATTAGCCTAGGAACACTCACCACCATCATGGCTTAATTTCTATAGCTTATTTTGTACCAAAACGAGGTTATGGGGGTAAAAAAAGCTTTGTAAATGTAGGGAATATTTCTTATTTGGTTAAAGCAAGATAAAACTAAAACTGTCTTTCAAAAAAATTCCAAAAACTCTTGTCTTTTAAAATTATATAGCATATGTACAAATAGATACCAGACTTCTCCTTTTAAACAAAGCACTATTTTTTAAGTACTTTAAGTACCAAGAACTGGTATATTCAGTTCATAATTTACTTTATAACAATTTTTTTCTAAATTATTGATTAAAAAGGCTGGAATAAATTAAGATTTTAGAAGACTTTCCCATAATTTAGGAATATAAAATATTGTATACAGAGCACACACAGCTCTGTCACATTTGCATAATTTTACTCTCAGAGCCTCAAAACCCCTGCGCATTTAAGGCTTTTTTTTGCAAATCCTTATCGACAATTATTTCCTAGTTAAACATACACTAGATCACGATTTTTGATCTCTGAGCCTGTGTGCTGATCATCTTCATCTGACTGTTGCTCCAAGCCTTGTGAATTAATATATTCATATTCAATGGGCTTTGGATAATTATATGGGTAGCCATTGTCATCAAAAAACCTCCGAAAGGTAAATTCATAGAAAGCATGTTCGGGGTGCTTTCCATTTTTATACCATCCATTCAGAGTGTCATTTACATTTTCTTCCTCATTATCATCACTCCATAACTTATCAGGATCAACGGGATCAAAATTTGATGTATCTGTTGGGTGTGTGATTTTAGGAATGTAAGAAGCAGACTGTTGTCTCAGGTCACTGGAGAAATCAATTGTTTTAAAAAATGGATGAGCTTTTATTTCATCAGCGCCATTCTTGCCTAAGCGATCTTCTGGTCCTCGGCAAAGTTTAATAATAAGATCAGAGGCTTCAGGACTCAGTTTAGCTTGCGGTGGAATGTGAAGAGATGTTTGCCAGTTGATAACCTTTAAATTTAAAGAAGGTTTTTAAAAATTAGGAGAGAAGAAATAAATAAGAACAAAAAAAGTCTTACAAGACTGTTTGTGTTTTTTAAAAATAAATTGTATGGTATTTCACCTTTCTTATCTTTAATAATGAATCACTGGTGGGAAATAACATTCCTTCCCATTCCCTCCTCTCCAGGCAATTTATACTCCCATGAGAAGACTCACTGTAAATTTTAGCTCTCTGTTAAGCCCTTCTCCCTACAGCAGAAATGACTATTTCTATTGTGCCTCCCCTGTTCTATACATCTAATACTTTGTGATACCTATTTATGTCTGTGTCCTTCTACTTCAGTATAACTACAGACCATGTTTTGTCTTTGTATTTCCCAGTGATTAGCAAATTTCCTGGCACATAATTAATAGATGTTCAGTAAATATTTATTGTACTTTTGAATAAACTGGAATGAGGAAGGGAGGCAGGGAGAGAAGGAAGAGAAGGAAGAAGGTAAGGAAGGAAGGTCAGGAAGGAAGGAAGTAGACAGTCAATAAATATTTGTTAAATAAATGAATAAATGAACCCCATTCTTCCTTATTCATATAAGAACTTATTGGCTATTGTCGAGGGAAGAAAAATAAACCCCCTTTTCCAGTATTTGTTCATCTTAAAAGACTTTCCCAGGTTGGAAAAAGGAGATGCCTCAACTAATCAAGTATGTCTTAGAATTCTTTATGGAAAAAAAAATTATGCTACAGTGGTAGTTATTTATGCTTGGTTCCATCATCTATTTCAAATAGGAAAAATTAAAATATACAATCAGCTGGACAAGTTCTTCATTTTAAAGTTACATTCAGGATTTTTTTAGTTTAAGATAAAAATAAAATAATAAGAGACTAGGCATAGCAAAAAAAAGACTTAATTCAAAGATGAGTCAATAGAAATTAATGTAAACCTAGCACAAGATAGAAAAAAATGGAATAAAAAAAGAATAAAACATAAGAGACATGTATGACAATATCAAATGTCTACCTTATGTATGTATACTAATCTGAATCCTAGAAGAAGAGAAAGAAGCAGGCAGAAAAAATCTTTTAGGAGTAATGGCAGGGAATTTTCCAAAATTGATGAAGGTCATCAACCTATAATTCAAGAAGCTTTGTTAACCTTCATCAAGATAAATAAAAAGAAAAGTACACACAGGAACATGATGGTAAAAATGCAGAAAACCAAAGTTAAAGAGAAAATATCCTAAAGCAGCCAGAGGGAGGTGCTCCAGTTCTGAGTAATAGATAGACTCCAATCTATCCTTCCTACTCACAGTGCAGCCTGGACAAAACGCATGGAGCAGCTCCTTGAGGACCTTGAAAAGAAAACAGTAATAGGCATATTGGGGAAGAAGGTAAGAAGAGTTTGAAGCACCAATGAAAATAGTGGTGAGTTTACCATTTTTTCCTTCTAGAATCCCCTGGCCTAGACTCAAGGTAGCCCTAACCTGAAGGAGTATAATACAGAGTGAGCTCTAGGAAAAGTCCATCTAGTTCAGGCTCAGAGAGTGAGAAAGTGGTTTCCTGGTCGCAACAGAAGTGAAATAAGGGCCACCTAAAACAGAGAGAGGGGACCCTTCTTCTCCAATTGGAAATTAAATCATACAGCATGTGGTTTCAAGAGGATAGACTGAATCCTGTTACCTTTTTCTCTATCATCTCACCACCCTGTCCTGGATGCAGACAGTCATGAGATGTGTGTATGGCAGAGCAGGGTAAATAAAGCCTTACTTTCTGGTCAAGGAACTGAAAAGGGAAGCCTGAGGAAACTGGAAAGTACCAGGGACATGGCGGAGAAGGAAGAGACTGGGAAACTGACCCCATAAAGTTACTGTCAAACTGTTGGGCTCACCTTTCAACTGTACCCATATGGCTTTAATCCTAAAGAGCATATCAAAGACTTTGAGAACTGAGCTAAGGAAAATACATAGCCCAGGGAGAGAGAGATGCCTAGCAATGTAAAAGGCTTTGACAATAAAACCGACATTGAAATCACAAGCCACAGAAAGCTGGTTGGAACCTGTGGCCTGAATCTAACCAGGATTAATGCCTGCCAAAACAATATCAACATTCAAAACAAGATTTAAACAAGACCCAGAGTCTCACAACATAATATTCAAAATGTCCGGGATATAATCCAAAGTTACTTGGCTTACAAAGAAACACAAAAACTTGAACCCACATAGGAAAAGAAAATCAAGAAACATAAGTGTTGAGAGGACATAGATGCCAGAATGATCTGACAGAGACCTTAAAGTAGCCATTATAAAAATGCTCCAAATAAAGATGGATACTTTTGAAGGCAGAAAGTCTCAGCAAAGAAATTAAAGATATGAACAGGTACCAAATGTAAATTTTAGAACTGAAAAATACTATAACCAAAATAACTCAATAGATGGGCTCAACAGCAGAATGGAGATGTCAAAGGAAGAATTAGTGAACTTAAAGATATACACTGACAGAAATTAGGCAAACTAAACAAAAGAGAGAAAAAAGGAGGTTAAAAATATGAGAATCTCATCCAAGACAAGAAAAAGCCAAAGTAGTTCATCACCACCAAACCAATATTACAAGAAATGTTAAGAGGACTCCTGTAAGAAGAAGAAAAAAGGATTAAAAGTATGAATAATAAAATGGCAATAACTATATATCTAGCAGTAATTATCTTAAATGTAAATGGGTTAAATGCTCCAATCAAAAGACAAAGCATGGCTAAAAGGCTTAGAAAACAAGACCTCTACATATGCTGCCTATAAGAGACTCACTTCGAATTGACAGACTGAAAGTAAAGGGATGGAAAAGGATATTTCATGAAAATAAAAACCAAAAAAAAAAAAAAAAAGTTGGGGTAGCAAACTTATACCAGACAGACTAGAATTTAAAACAAAGACTATAGCAAGAGACAAGGAAGGACCCAGCAATCCCACTTCTGGGTATTTATCCAAAGAAACCCAAAACACTAATTCAGAAAGACATATGCATCCATATGTTCATTGCGACATTAATAACAATAGCCAAGAAATGGAAGCAACTACGTGTCCATCAATAGATGAACGGATAAAGAAGTGTATATACAAGAGAAAATTACTCAGCCATAAAAAAGAATGAAATCTTTCCACTTACAAAAACATGAATGGACCTAGAGGGGATTATGCTAAGTGAATAAGTCACACAGAAAGACAAATACCATATAATTTTACTTATATGTGGAATTTAAAAAACAAACAAAATAGAAACTCAGATACAGAGAACACTTTGATGGTTTCCAGATGGGAGGGGGGTTGGAAGGATGGGTAAAAAAGGGGAAGGGATTAAGAAATACAGATTGGTAGTTACAAAATAGTTATGGGGATGTAAAGTACAGCATAGGGAATAGAGTCAATAACATTGTAATAACTACGTATGGTATCAGATGGGTACTGGATTTATTGGGGTGATCACTAAGTTATATAAATATCTAATCACTATGTTGTACACCTGAAACTCATATATTGTTATATCAATTGTAACAAAAATATTTTTAAAAAACCTAAAAGAAACATGAGAACCTCGGTAATCTGTGGGGCTATAAAAGGTCTAACATTGGCATCATTTAAGTTCCAAAAGGAAAAAGTGTGTGATGTAGAAAAAATACATGAAGAAATAATGGTTGAAAATTCCTCAACTCTGACAAAAGATAAACCTATAAATTCAAGAAGTGAACACCAAACAAGATAAGTGATATGAGAAATGTAAAGAAATCTAAGATGGCTACCCCGTCCCGGAGGAATTTTTCCAGCCTCTCCTTCGAACACTTCCTTTCTCGCATGCGCACGCGAAACAAAAGACCGCCAAGTATGCGGAAGTAATCAGTGTATAAATCTACCTGCCTGCCTTTGTTCAGACTCTGGAGAGGGACTCCTCTGAGCCTGCTGGTGTAAGTAAACCTCCTTTGATTCTTAGTTCGCTGAGTGCCACTTGGTTCTTCCGGGTTCACAGGCCAAAATCCGCAACATTTTGGTTCCCTGACCGGGAAACCCAACTGAACTGACCCTTTGAAGCCACTGGTTTGGGCACAACGCCGAGACACTGGTCAGCCGAGGCAACTGAGGAACTAGAAGGTGCGGTCTTGGGCCCGGCTGCACTCGGCCAGCCCTGCTCCATTGTTTCCCCCGGAAACTGAGTGGTGAAAACAAGGAAATTCGGCAGATCCACATCGGACACGGTAAGGCCGCGCCGCCCACGGTAGACAGGCCTACCTTAAGGGTGGAAGGGGAGACTGATCACGTCCCAGGGGCAAGCGCCCCTCAGGCAGGGACCACCAGGGAGGGAATGTTTTAACCTCTGAGAGCATGTGTGTCTTTGTGGATCTCAGAGACCTGTCTCTGAGTTTCCAGACTGTGGCCCCACGGTGAAAAATTACGGGGTCTGAAAGGGCCCCAACCTGCGGTTCTGTAGCGATGTCATAAGGCATAATGGTGATTCGTCCCTCTGGGGAACGACCAGGCCCAGGGTTTATACGGATACACCTTAGCCAAGACGCGTGGAAAATCTCGAGAGAGACATGGCCATGTGGGCATCTGAGTGGTCTCTAAAAAGGGACACCCCCACCCTTTGTTTTTACGGTACCAACACAGTGGGAAACATGGGGTCAGGTCAGAGTGAGACAACAGTCCTTGAGACTATGTTAAAGAATTTCAAGAAAGGTATTTACCTCAGAGGTGGTTATTACTGAACAGGTGAAAAGAGGCAAACTGAAGGAATAAAGAAAGTGAAAGAAGGTTTGCGGAAGTAGTAGAAGGTCTGTGAAGGGAAATCGAGAGGAAATTTTGTGAAGGGAAAGTGTAGAAGGTTTGTGAAGAAATTCTGAAAGGGAATTTTATGTAATAAAGTGAAACAAGGTTGGAAATTTAAACGCCGAGAGCAAGCTGATGCAAAAAAAACCCCAAAAAACTAGAATTGTTTTTAACGCTCTTTAGACTATTGGTGTGATGCAAATGTTTTGAAAAGGTCCTCTGGGAAGAAAACTAGGATTCTGTATTTATTCAAAATAATTTTAGTGTTTTGCGCTGCTTTAACTAGGTTTCTAGGACTTTAGAGAATATATTAACACTGGCCTCTGTGCCTACTTCTCAAAGGAAGCTCCCTGAAAATATGGGGGGAGTTCCACTAAGCCAACTGTCTTAGATTGTATGTTGGAAAATTTTAAGGAGGGTTTCTCTGAGGAGTATAGGGTCATGCTGACCTTAGAAAAACTTCGTATTCTTTGTGAGCTTGAATGGCCTGCTTTAGGGGTAGGTTGGCCTTCAGAAGAGACCTTAGACCTCCCCACAGTGAGAGCAGTGTATCGGGTAGTGACAGGGACCCCAGGATATCTAGACCAAGTTCCGTATATAGACACATGGCTGCAGACTGCTACTATAGTGCTCCCTTGGGTCCAGTTTGGCACAAATAGCCAGGGACAGAATAGGGCATTTGTGGCCCGCCTGGCTAAGCGAAAGGACAAGGAGGTTCCAACAAAATTAATTCACCCAGGGGCCCTAGGGAAGATTCTATCTAATGACCACTGTACATCCCAGTAGCTCTCTCAGTCCCCACGAGGCCAATTTAGTATCAATTGCCAGACAGACCTCTACATCAGTGCCTTTGCTGCCCCCTACTGCCCCAGAGCCCTGGCCCAACACCATGCCTACCATCTCGTTCAAGTTCGACTTGATAATAGAAAAGCCCGAAGAACAGTGGTGGAGTACCCAGAAACAAGATGGCCAGGTTAGAATGATTCCTGACCCTTTTGTTAGAAAGCTCGTGTAGTGTTTTCCACTACAGGGAAAACATCGTGAAAAGTCTAAATTAGAGGTAAAGGCTGGGGCTAGGAAGTCAACAAGTGTGTCGAAAACAGCAGAGCTACACCAGGAGGTAACTGACAAACAGGGAAAGCAGAAGGTGTCCCTGTTGGCAACTGCATTAGGGAACCCAGGTTTAGTGCAACAGACGGCTGCTCCCACATGGCAGAAAGAAACCCAAAGGAAATTACACCGTAACCAATGTGCCTTCTGTAGAGACATCGGCCGTTGGAAGAACAAGTGCCCTCATCGCAGGGAAACTGTCAGTCCAAAAAGGCCAGAGAATTTAAGACATCATCAACCTGAGCCAGTTGTCAAAGAAGACTGGGCCAAAGGATAATCAGACTAGGAATAGTTGCAGCATAAGTAGGAGGGCCAATCAATGATTTGTATAGTGGACACTCAACACCGTAGCCATGATCAAACATCAAAAAGGAGTCAGTAAGATTTGCAGGGCAGCTGAATTCTGTCAGTTCTGAGTGCTAAGTTTAAATGTAAAGGTTCCCCATACCGTAATTCCATTAATGAATAATCGAGAACATAAGCAGCTGACCAATGCCAGAGTAACTTATTATCAGGGACTGCTGTGCAAAAACCATGAGTCCGTCTCAAAACTGTAACTACATTAAACCCTGCAGACTGCCTTGGTGCCAGAGGTCTTTAAGGTGTCCAGTAACTGGGACTGGGCAGAGAAGGAAGCAAAGTACAAAAGAGCGCCAATTTTAGCTGCCATAATACAGGGACCATCTTGAGGTGACCTTAGGCAGTAAAAACCTTGCAGGCCTGGAGGGCCTCGATTGTGGTTGGCCACAAGTGGCATTGCTGGGACTGAGACATAATCAATGTGCAAACTGCAAAAGAAAGGGCACTGAAAGGGCAAGTGTCCACCCAGTCCTGGGAAGCCGGGGAGTGGTGGACCTCATAAGCGCTTGCCCTACATAGCAAGTCTCTCACGAAGGGGTTGCTCTCTTCTCCAACAACGGAGGCCCAAGCACTTGCAAGCTCCAGTCCTAGAAAAATCTGCCAGGATCACAACAGTAGAACCTCAGATCCCCTTTGACTTGGCAAAAAGAAAAAACTGAATTTTTACTAGATACTAGAGCTGCCTACTCTGTCCTGACCCTTCCCATAGGTCTCTCTCTCCAATGCTAACTGTACAATGACAGGAATAAACAGTCAGTCTAACGTAAATTTCCTTTCCCATTGTGAGACCAGGATTAGCAATGAAGTTCTCTGCCACACATTAGGACCAGGGTCCTGTGCAGAAAGTGCCTTGTCTGAGAAACTAGGACACAGCCTAAAAGGCGATCAGTCCCCTTGCCCACCACATAATGCACGTTTGTAGGGAACCTAAGGCTAAACTATTCGCAGACAACCCACCTCTATGTCAGGGTTTCCTACTAGCTGGCCAACTACCTCCCAGCAATCTGTTAAAAGCCAGCCTTTGAGGCAAACAGAAAGGGCCCCACCCAAATCTTAGGAAGGATAAGGCCTATGCTTTCTTTAAAGTGTCTACTATAATACCAGCAAAAAATGTGTAACATTTACTAAGTGTGCTAACTAATGTTTTAACATCTCAGATAATATGACATTGAACTACAGCTCCACTACTTCTGTAAGTTATGCAAATTACTCACTAGATAGTTTCTTATTAATGAAAGAACTATTTATTATGTTAAAACCAAAGCCAAGGGAAGAATTTTCTTACAGCAACAAAGCAATCAACTTCATCTGAAGCTAGTCTCAGATACGAGACCTATCAAAAGAGGGAGGAAATGAAATGGGACATCTCTTGCAGAGTTAATCTGTTTAGTAAAGGTAGTTAAGTTTTCTTCTCTCCTTTCTTTATAGGAAAAAAGCCCTCTCCCTCAAATCCTGATAATTGCCCAAAACTGGTAACTCAGATCCTCTGGCTATTGATAAGGGTCATCAGCCCATGGTTAAGCAGAAATGGTGTTCTGACAGGCAGGGCCCTTGAAGTCTGAGTGGGAGGGGGCTTTAGGCCAAAGGTCTTTTTACTCTTTAAGAAATATATTAACCAAGTCTGTTTTCCTTTACTTGCTTAAAGAAAGGGAAAGATCTCCATGAAATGCCAGTAGGCAGGGACTATGACCCTTCTCAGCAAGAAGCAGATACGGAAGAAGAGACCTCCTGTCCCTCAACATCCATACTAATAATAAGGGGGTTCATGGCTCTTAGAAAAGAGTTAGGCAGAAAAATTAGTTAAAGGGTTTCTAGGTCTGCCTGCAAAGACACTGAGGTCATCCTATCTCAGAAGGTATTTGCTGTTATCCATCATGCACCGTAAGGCCTTTAGGCTTCTCTCCTTACAAAATCCTTTTCAGGAGACTCTCCCACCCCAGCGCAAAACTGGGGGAAGGGTGTATCTGCAACTATGTTAGCAGAAATTTAGGAAAAATATAGATTTAAGGGTATTCAGTCAGTAGAGAAAGAAATTTAGTAAGTTCTGTGTTTGAATCTGGCTGGCAGAATTAACTTTTTGAAAAAGGTTTATACACAGGTATTTGTAATAAATTTGAAGTCATAGTCAGAAGACTCGGATCATAATTGGCTATATGATTTAAATAATCAGTTTGAATCTTTTTCCTTGTCTAGAGACTAAGGCTGCACCTCAGCAAGAAACCCAAGACTCCACTCTGACTAAGGCAGAAAGATAAATCAAACTTTAGAAAGTGCCTCCATACTTCTAGGGAATTAGGTCCACCCCTTTTAGTCAGGAGAAGAAATATAGGTTAAGGATTAGAAAAAGGAGCCATTCCAGCCAAACTAAACAGGCTCTCACATTGTTATATTAGCAACTCTCACTGCCATTAAAGTTACAGGTTTTACTCCGTGAATCCACCACACCTGGGTAAAGAAAACAGTGTCTCCAGAGAACCAAAAAACTTAGACTGCAGAACGTTTTCTTGATCAGCTGCTCTGGATCGCGTTCTGGAGGCAGCAGAAAATCCACCTGAGATCCGTCGGCCCTGTAGGCCTTTAGGCTTCTCCCCTTACAAAATCCTTTTCATAAGGATTCCCCACAGCGCAAAAGGGGAGAGGGGTGTAACTGCAACTACTTTAGCAGAAATTTAGGAAAAATAGAGAGTTAAGGGTCGGCAGAAGCTTGAGGAATTTCATCGTGGGACTCCTTATAATTGGAGTTTAGGGAGGAAATTGGTGCAAAGAACTGTAAATATCCATGTTACCAGTAAGTTCTGTGTTAGGATCTGGCTGGTAGAATTAACCTTTCGAAAAAGGTATTTGTAATAAATTTGAAGTCATAGTTGGAAGACTCAGATTATAATTGGCTTATTTTCCTAACTATTGTAATATAATTCTCATTTAAAAGATAAACTTTAGAAAGAGCCCTGATGCTTCTAGGGAATTAGTTCCACCCCTTTAATCAGGAAAAGAAATATAGGTTAAGGATTAGGAAAAAAAAAAATCCATTCCAGCCAAACTAAACAGGTTTGTGGACATGGCAGGATTTACCACTTGCTGGACGTGGCCGGTGGCCCCTGAACATGGGACCTGAGTACAGGAAAACATGTAAATGAGGTAAGGTGAGCAGACTCCCTTGGGAAAAGTGTACACAAAAGAGTAGTAGGGAGAAGATACAGATCACAACCTGGTAGAATTCAAGAAAGCACACGTGTTAAATAAATTTAAGGAATAGACTGTCATAACCAGGAGGACAACAAGGGTCAAAGGACTGCAATGTTCTTCTACAGAGCTTAAAGCTATACTTACGGCTAGAGCGTCTCCAGAGAACTGGGAAACTTAGACTGCAGAATGTTTTCTTGATCAGCCTCTCCAGATCACATTCCAGAGGCAAGGGAAAATCCATCTGAGATCGTCGGCTCTGCTCTGGCCATCCCTGGAAGCTGGTCAGTCTATGCACGGCAGAAGCTTGAGGAATTTCATCATGGGACTCCTTATAATTAGACTTTAGGGAGGAAATTGGTGCAAAGAAGTGTGAATATGTATCCATGTTTCCACCTGGGAAAAGACTGGGAAGCTACTGAATTGATTCCCACCCAGGCAAGGCCCGAAATTGGGTGAACCTACATAGACTTTACTAGATTTGTAGAAACAAGACATACAATTCCCTTGTGCTTTTCAGATATATTTTCCAGAGCTGCGCTGGACGTGGCAGGATTTACCACTTGTTGGACGCGGCAAGTGGCCCCTGAACAGGTACCTGAGTATGGGAAAACGTGTAAATGAGGTAAGGTGAGTAGACTCCCTTGGGAAAAGTGTACGCAAAAGAGTAGGAGGGAGAAAATACAGATCACAGCTGGTAGAATTCAAGAAAGCACGTGTGTTAAATAAGTTTAAGGAATAGACTGTCATAACCAGGAGTAAAACATAGGACAACAAGGGTCAAAGGACTGCAGTGTTTTTTTACAGAGCTTAAAGCTATACTTAGTGCTAGGGAATATGGTGTGCACACTCACCAGATTCAACGATCTTAAATCTCATATAGGAAACTTGTCTCTGGTTCCCAGAGGAAGGAGATGTAAATAGTTAAAGCTGGGAAAAGATTGGAATGCTACTGAACTGATTCCCGCCCAGGCAAGGTCCGAAACTGGGTGGCCCCACATAGACTTAACTAGATTTGCAGAAACAAGGCTTACAATCGCTTCCCCTCAATTAGGAAAGAAGCTGCATAATTAGCATGATAAAGCCTTCCTCCTACTTCTGAGAACAGGGGAATTGCTTGGTCACCGGGTCCCAAAAGCCCTTGCCGACGTGGAGGCGCGCACCTGTAGTCCCAGCTACTCAGGAGGCTGAGACAGGAGGATCGCTTGAACCCAGGAGTTCTGGGCTGTCGTGTGCTGTGCCGATCGGGTGTTCACATTAAGTTCGGCATCAATATGGTGACCTCCTGGGAGCAGGAGACCACCAGGTTGCCTAAGGAGGGGTGAACCGGCCCAGGTTGGAAAATGGAGCAGGTCAAAACTCCTGTGCTAATCAGTAGTAGTAGGATCATGCCTATGAATAGTTACTGCACTCCTGACGTGGGCAAAATCCCATCTCTATTACAGCAGGTAAAAAGGGAACTCCAAATAGGGGACTGGAAGGATAATGAATGGCCCCCAGAACACATAATCCAATACTATAGGTCTGCCACTTGGGCAGAAGAGATCTTTGGGATTCCTTACCTCCATTTACATGTTAAATCAAATTATCCGACCGCAGGCAGTTACTAATAAAAGTAGGAGAGTCCTGACCCTCCTGGCACATCAAGAAACTCAGATGAGAAATGCCATCTACCATAACAGGTTGGCACTAGATTATCTATTAGCAGCAGAAAGTGGTGTATTTGGGGAATTCAATCTCACCAACTGTTGTGTGCAAAGAGATGACCAGGGCCGGGCAGATGACAGGACCGGCACACGTGCCTCTACAAACATGGCATGGATAGGACCCCAAAAACGTCTTCAGAGGTTGATTCTTCACTTTTGGAGGCTTTAAGCCTTAATTAGAGTAGCAGTACTCCTCCTTAGTACCTGCCTACTTCTGCCTTGCCTGTTGCCTCTTGTTTGGACAATTACCTCCCTTATAGAAGCTACAGTGGAGAGAAAGACTACAGCAAAGATCTTTATGCAATCGAATTACTGGTCCCTGGTCCAGGGAGACCAAGAGGGAGATCAGGAAGGTAATCAAAAAGGTGATGTCCTTTAAAGAATTTAGACGAGCATCAAAAGGGGGGAATGATATGGGAAATGTAAAGAAATCTAAGATGGCTACCCTGTCCCGGAGGAATTTTTCCAACCTCCTCTCCCTGGAACACTTCCTTTCCCGTGCGTGGGAAACAAAAGATGTCCAAGTATGCGGAAGTAATCAATATATAATTCTACCTGCCTTTATTCAGGGCTCAGACTCTGGAGAGTGACTCCTCTGAGCCCGCTGGTGTAAATAAACCACCTTTGATTCTTAGTTCACTGAGTGCCGCTTGGTTCTTCCAGGTACACAGGCCAAAATCTGCAACATAAGCCCTAAGAAATCCATGCCCAGACACCTCATAATTACAACACTGAAAGCTAAAGACAAAGAAAATTTCTTGAAAGCAGCCAGTGAAAAATGATGAATTAAGGGAACAATGATTTGAATAACTATAGATTTCTCATCGGAAACTATGGAGGACAAAAGGAAGTGGACAACGTTTTAAACTGCTGCAAGAACTGAAACCCAGAATTCTATATCAAGTGATAACATCCTAAGGAAGGTGAAATAAGACATTCTCAGATGAAGGAAAACAAAGATAATCTGTTGTCAGCAAACCTCCTCTAAAAATGCTGCTAAAGAAGTTGTTGGAACAGAAGGGATATGATATAGAAGGAATCAAAATATCAGGAATGCAGGAAGAGCAAGGAAAATACTAAATATCCAGATAATATAAATGACTATTTTCCTTACCCTGAATTCTCTCAAATAAGTTGATGATTGAAAACAAAAACTGTAGTAACAATGTTGAATGAGGTTTTAAACGCATGCAGATGTAATGTATGATATAATTAAAAGTGAAGGGTAGAGCATAGAGAGTCTACATGGTGGTAAGGTTCTACATGGAACTACACTGAAGTGGGAAAATACCAATTATAAGTAGACAGTGAAAACTCAGTATGTACTTTGTAATCACCAGAACGACCTCTAACAAAACTACATAAAGAGGTAATAGTCAAAAACACAGCAGAGGGAGATGCCATGGAAAATGGTGAATAGAAAGATTCAGGGTCAGTCCCTCCACAAAAACAATAATTGGGAAAAACAAAACAAACTATCAGAATCAGCTATTTTGGAACTCTGGAAGCTGACTCGGGCGCTTAAAGCAGCCAGGGGCATGCTTCATGAAGGGAGAGGCTCCTAAGATTTGGGAAGAGAGCAGAGTTGTGAACCAACTACCACTTTCTATTCCTCAGCCCTTCTGTGGTAATGGAGAGGGCAGCCCACCTTCCTGGAGCAGCTGACTGGTACCTGGGTAGCCAGTAAAGAAAGACCTTGCTTTCCAAAAATTTGGGGTTGTGCATTTTGTTAGGTGTTGGTGATTCTCTGAGGAACCAGCCCAGATGCCTGCTTTTCCTTTGACCTCCTTAGGAATAGTTAAAGAGACAGACATGCTTTTCTTTTTTGATCCAGACATTTAGGGAAATCTCCATCAGGCCACTGGTTTGGGCTGTTTTTCTTAGTGTGGAGTTTTGAGAGTTCTTTATATACAAGTCTAGATAGAAGCCTTTTGTTGGAATGTGATCTGTAAATATTTTAACTCCCATGCTGTAGCTTGTCTTTTCATTGTCTTGACTGTGCCTTTGGCAGACTGAATGTTTTTAATTTTGATGAAGTCCAGTTTCTCAACCTTTTCTTTTATGGATAATGATTTTGGTGCCATTTCTAAGAACTCTTCACTTAACCTCAGGACATAAAGATTTTTTCTTTTATTTTCTTCTAGATGTATTATAGCTTTATGTTTTATCGCTAGATCTATGATCCATTTTGAGTTAATCTCTGTGTAAGACAGGAGGTTTATGTTGATTAGTATCTTTTGTATATGACTGACCAATTTTTCTAATACTATTTGTTGAAATAATTTACTTTCTCCATTTGGACCTCTGTCAAAGATCAAATGGCCATATTTGTGTGATTCTGTATCTCCATTCTCTATCCTATTCCATTGATTTATGTGTGTATCCTTTTGCCAGTATCATACTGCATTACTATAACTTCACAGTAAGTCTTAAAATCAAGTAGTTGATTCCTCTTAATTCTTTATTCCAGTTCCTTTGTCCACCCATGTAAATTTT